AAAAAAAAAAAAAAAAAAAAAAAAAAAAAAAAAAAAAAAAAAAAAAAAAAAAAAAAAAAAAAAAAAAAAAAAAAAAAAAAAAAAAGTCAGTTCGTTTTTTTTTTTTTTTTCAATGCGTCTATCGAGGTTAATCAATGCTAATTCACATCGAAATTTATTCGTTCATGCAAATATAGATGTACAGGTGTACTTTCATGTTCTTGCAAATGTTTGATCGGGACCGGAACTTCTTTGAACTCCTATTGAGGTTAATTAACACGCCTCCTATTTTTTCCGTATGCCTCATTCATTTCTTATGTTTGATTTATGATCCTATACGCCCCGAGTCATACGTACCTCATCTATCCACGTTTGCCCTTTGTCATTGTTTGGCAGGGCTCACTTTCCTGTTCGGATAAATTTGTCATTGGGATCGGAACTTCTTTTGGCTCCAATCCACCATAATCGAGGCGGCTCCTACTTGCGGCCAGCCTTAGGTATCCTAAGTCAGTCATCCATCCGCAAAAGATTTGAAAAAGGTAACATGTCTTCACCGACCTTTCCGAGCCCCGATCGCTAGGAAGTAGTCCGTAGTACTCATTCTCCTCGCCTGAGCACGAGGCCCAGATCTCAGAAGTAGACGTTGGCTCCACCACAACAACATTGCACCACCCCCATAAATGGGTCTATGCGACGTACCGCACATCCCCACAGCCAGCCTCGAAGGTCGTGGATCCAGGAAGAGTCATTCCTAGCGATCGAGGTCGGACAAACCGTTGATGGCCTCACCTTTCTTCTCCTCTTTTGCTTGGGTGACTTTGATGAAATAGGAGCAAAGGGGGTAGAGAACAAAACCTTTTGGAACAGGTCTAGGTGAGAGTAGGTCATTCGGGATAGCATGGGTGTCTTGGAAAAAAAGTTACGTTTATTGTCATCTTTATTCCTTCTTATCGGATTGGTTCCTTCTCCAATATTCATTTGAAATACATGGTGTGACCCAACCCTCCCAATAACAGTTAATTTGCTTCACTTAAGTGCCTGAGTATTTTCAGCGACCCATATAGACCAATCATACGTACCTTGATTATTCTTGAGCATCCTTTGCTTTCCTTCGATACCGTTTACTGGAAGGCGGTCTTTGCTTTCCTTCAATACCTATTACTGGAAGGCAGCCTAAGCGCTTTAGATTTTCAGCGCCCCACGTAGCACACTCATACGTACCTTGTTTATTCCTAAGCATCCTTTGCCTTCCTTCGAGACCGTCTGCAGGAAGAGGACTCAAACTTATTGTTTCGTTTGCTTTTATGATTGAGATTTTTCTGTCCCAATTATTCATCAACATTACAATTTTTCTCCGTATATTTTTTTTCTTTTAATCTTCTTATTGATTTTAATCGGTCTTTAATACTATCCCATGTTCATACTTTAAAGGATAGGAATAAGTAGAACAGTATAAGAGCGAACACAGA